CACGTAATTTTTCGCCACCCTCTATGTGTAATGCAGTGCCACGAATCACAGGATTAATCTATATGACACTGATTCTGATTCTGATTCTCGTCCGGAAATTCAGTGACACTGATCTGATGAGCATCAGTGATCACCCAATACTGTACAGAGCGAATCGCAACTCAAATGCTTTGGTTGTGACGGAAGTGAATTGTATTCAAAAATGAGGTTTTTTTGCTGCCGCGTTATCCTTCAGTTTTTGAGTGTCACAAGTTAGGATGTAAAAGCTCATCAAACACTCGAAACTGAAGCTGGAGTGGATGTCGAAAACATACATAGTGCACCATGAAAAACTGACTAATCGCTAGCACTTTCCTCTCATCTCCATCATTTTCATCTTCGGCTGTGAAACTCAGAAAAAAGTTTCGCCTCCCTGTATTACGCTACAACTTCAAGACAATGTAACCGAGATCCCATTTTATTTCGTTTTCGATTCATATACCTTGTTCGCCTCAATTGCTTTCGTTCGTTTCGGTCGTATCCAGATAATGAGAACTATCGGTTCTCGGGGAGTATAGGCTACACCAGCGAAGTCAACCGTCCGCTGTTCCAACTCCGAAAATTTCACGTCCCCCTCCGAAAAATTCAGATGTATCTCCCCTCCACTCTTGTGAACTGCGCAACGTAGGGACTGGGGGTATTCGAATTTTTCCTCAGGGAAGTCTTGAAATTTTTGGATTTGGAACAACAGACTGTTGACCCTGCTGGTATAGCCTTTACTCCGCTCCGACCGATAGTACCTATCAGAACAATGTTTATGGTTGATGCTCGGTTTTTCAGAGATCCTCTGCTCATAAGTGCAAATGGCGTTCTATTTTGCGCTGTTAAACGTATCGGCAAAAAGAGACGATCGTTCCGCTTCGACGTCGTCGCATCGTCAAAAGCATCGTCGGCATAGCATTGCTTCAGTCGAGAGTCCAGTGCTCGACTATCGACTACTACCCAAGTACGTTCAGCTTTCAATCAGTGCTTACGCATCAGAGGTATCGATTACAGTGGGTTTTAGAGGGTTTAAGAGGGGACGTGACGGGTGCTCAATAGTACGCCAATGGCAAAAAAGCGGAGAAACACCGTCGAGAACACGCAAAATGGGACCCCCCTCATTCGCCTGTGCATTTTCAACCATGGAAGAGCGGTGGTCAAGACAGGGGTCGTCTGGACGTGTTGCACCCAGTGGTCGGTATCATGGCAACAAACAAAGGCACTTTGAATGACAACTCGTAATGACAACGCTTTATATGTACAGATACCTACTCTCCGTAGGCCACACCACTCCATCTGCAACGCTCTGTGTTTTTCTGATCTCAATTCTTTGTGCAAGTTAAATCTCCAAATCTCCCATAAATCTGACCTTCGGGCCGGCTTTCTTCCAGGGTGTTCGTTTGATATCCCGTGGGATCTTCTCGGTAATAGGGTTATGCGCCATCGGCAGTGAAGCGATTGCTAATCTGGAAAGGACGTTTCTATTGGTCTCAATAGAAAATAAAAAAGACATACATTTAATGCATGAAGAAGTGGATCGGTTTGAAATAAATGATGGGATTTGTTAAGCTTTTACAATAAGTACTTTCCCTTGCTTCTCTGCTTTTATGGGTTTCTAAGCGCTTATATTTCCTCTCCTTATAAGCTTTCCATTGTCTGAGGGCTTTCCATACGATTCGCAAAGCGCAATATCTGAAGTAAGGTTTTGAGAGTTCAGCATTATTTACCCTTTCCAGCCGCTATCTTCTCACGCTCGTCAAAATTTGGGCCGTGTTTTTATCGAAGATCGTCCATGACTGAAGGTTTGGCGAGAAAGTTGTCTCCGGTGCGGTATTTCAAAGTGAGGAACACGATTATCACATCAGTATAGCGCGAAAACGCCTAGCGCCCGCGCCACAGGCCCTGGCGCTATCGCATTCTTTTGTGTCGGTTCCCATGTCGTGGGCTACATGCTCACCCTCAATGAATTGATGAGATGCTTGTGTTCTACAGCTCCGACTAGCCCTGCCTACAAGTTCACAGCCAATTGTCGTGATTTTCTTTTCAGCACCTTGTATGGCGCAGCGCATGGCGTTTTCGGGCTGAACGAGTCGAATATTGTGTTCTACCGACTCAGGTTTTCGAGCGGTGGGGGTAAAGGCATGTTTAAATGTAAAGGAGAAAAAAAACGCCGTGTGTTCTACTCGCACCCATGAAGTAAAGCTTATATTGTTATATAATATTTTCAGGCCTCAAGTTGTTCGCAACGAGTTCTATTGCGACGATACGGAAAGCGGGAATCGACATGAAAGTTCTAAGCAAAACAACCGTCAAAGGCTTAATCAAAATCGCAGTGCATCGTCGTCGCGACCAACCGCTGAACCGACGTCATCTCGTAGTCGTGATGGACGACGAGGCGGAGCAAAAGCGCCAAAGGAGCGACCTCAGATCAAAGGAATGCGCAAGTCGGACAGTAATCATCTGGATACAGCAAGAAGAATGAAACAAAAGAGTGAGAACGGGCACAATAATGCGAGACTGTGGAAAAGTCCGGATCGTGAGAGGGAGCGGTTGGAGAGGGAGTTCTGCGGGATGCAGGTGGCATCATCGTCGAAAAGGGCAATGACAGCTGAGGCCAGACAAAAATCCATGAACGATTCAACCGAAAGTGAAGGCTTGAGAGTCGTCGAAAACTTGGCCACCGCTGATTTTGATAGAAGGTGGCGAGGCAAAAGACCGATCGTCGTCAAAAGAAGGGTGTCGCCTCAGGAGAGCTCAACGAGTGACAGTCGGCGATCGAGTAATCAGAGCAACCGCAGTCCGCAACGAAACGATAGTCTCGGTAAGTAGTCCTTCTTAAAGGCAAGAATCAGGATTAAATTGATGGGTTGATTCCACTCAAATGTGAAAGTAGGGATGGGAGGTGGACCGCCAGTGGAGAAAAAGGAAAGAAAATCCTGAAATACACAGGAAATACGAGCATTTTGCTCTATGCTGTGGAGAAGTTCAAAAGACAGGCAGGGAGATGAGAGATAATGTGAGCGCGGAAGGTGGCGCTACCTTTGCACTCGCGTACCTAGCACTTCTAGCCATGGTAAGGGCTTCTTAGGTGGGTCTGAGCCCGAACTTTGCCTTTAGACCTAGACCTTTTTACGAAAAATTGCTTAGTTGCTCGCTCAGTAGGTCCTCTCACCATCAGTGATCTCCTTGCTGCTAGGAATTTTTTGGTTTTTCCCTTTGTAAAACTTCTTTTTATAAACCAGGAAGAACAGGTTGCTCACGTCCTACCTCAGAATCTCTTCCCTTCCTTGATGCTTAGCCCCAAGTTTTCGTAACTCAATCACTCCAGTGTCCCCCCTCTAACCCTCATGAACACCTAATCACGCATTAATCAGTTTGACTATCTATC